GTTCGCAACCGTTCGCAACCGTTCGCAACCGTTCGCAACCGTTCGCAGTAGGACGCTAAGGCGCTGCCATTGGGGGAAGCTTTTGTAAGTGACTTTTCATGGATGTGTCACGTGTCAGTTTGCGACGCTATTCCATTGTGATTTGCATGAAAATGACATGTCGCGCAAGAAGCGTGATGCACTTCGCTGCACAGGCGCAGTGGTTTGAGAGATCCGCAGTTGACTGCGCAGTTCCATTGGGATTAGCGTTTGGAGAGTCGTGTTGTTGGGGTGTTGGATGTGGCCGTGCCATTGGGATTTGCGTTTCAGGGTGTGGCATCGAAGCTCTGTTTTCGTGACAAGTCTCAGCTGAAATGGCGATTTTGGTGGATGGGAGTGTGCTCAGAACGGGTCGAAATCATTCTAAACGTGTGGTGTGGTGCAAATTTTGTTGAAGCTCACGTGAGATGATCTTCTCACTTTTCGAGGCAGGCACAGTACTTTGTGCTGATTTTGAGGTGTGGAAGTGCGATTCTCGTGGCAGGCGCAGGAAATCGTGAGGTTGCGAGGTGTGACGGAGGTGACATTTCGTGGCAGGCGCAGTACTTTGTGCGCGTTAGACGTGTGGATGCGGAAAGATTCGTGGCAGGCGCAGGGAATCGTGAGGTCGTGAGTTGTGGTAGAGGTGAATGTCGCTGTCACATTGGGATTGGCGTGTGAGGGGGTATTGTTTGGAGGGGCTGGACTCGCGAAACTGCTTGGCAGGGCTGCGTGATGTGTGTGCTCCGATGGGTGTTTCCGCTTGACTTTTGGAGGAAGTCTCGTACGAAATCCTCGTTTTGCAGACTTTGACATGTGAGTTTTGGAGGAAGTCTCGTACGAAACGCTCGTTTTGGAGACTTGACACGTGACTTTTGGAGGAAGTCTCGTACGAAACGCTCGTTTTGGAGACTTGACGTGTGACTTTTGGAGGAAGTCTCGTACGAAGCGCTCGTTTTGGAGACTTGACGCGTGACTTTTGGAGAAAGTCTCGAACGAAACGCTCGTCTTGCGCAGCCTCGAAGCGTGACTTTTGGAGGACGTCTCGTACGAAACGCTCGCAGGAGTGCTTCTAGTGTGCCACAAGAGTGTCCTACAAGAGTGTCCCACAGCCACAAGAGTGTCCCACAAGAGTGGTCCTACAAGAGTGTCCCAGAAGAGTGTCCCACAAGAGTGTCCTATAAGAGTGTCCCACAAGAATGTCCTACAAGAGTGTCCCATAAGAGTTTCCTACAAGAGTGTCCCACAAGAGTGTCCCACAAGAATGTCCCACAAGAGTGTCCCACAAGAGTGTCCCACAAGAGTGTCCCACAAGAGTGTCCCACAAGAGCGTCCCACAAGAGTGGCCTACAAGTGTGTCCTACAAGAGTGTCCCACAAGAGTGTCCCACAAGAGTGTCCTATAAGAGTGTCCCACAAGAGTGTCCTACAAGAGTGTCCCACAAGAGTTTCCTACAAGAGTGTCCAACAAGAGTGTCCCACAAGAGTGTCCCACAAGAGTTTCCTACAAGAGTGTCACACCAGAGTGTCCCACAAGAGTGTCCCACAAAATTGTCCCACAAGAGTGTCCTACAAGAATGTCCTACAAGAGTGTCCCACAAGAGTGCCCCACAAGAGTGTCCTGCAAGAGTGTCTCACAAGAGTGTCCCACAAGAATGTCCGACAAGAGTGTCCCATAAGAGTGACCCACAAGAGTGTCCTATAAGAGTGTCCCACAAGAATGTCCGGCAAGAGTGTCCTACAAGAGTGTCCCATGTCCCACAAGAGTTTCCTACAAGACTGTCACAAGAGTGTCCCACAAGAGTGTCCTACAAGAGTATCCCACAAGAGTGTCCTACAAGAGTGTCCCACAAGAGTTTCCCTACAAGAGTGTCACACAAGAGTGTCCCACAAGAGTGTCCTACAAGAGTATCCCACAAGAGTATCCCACAAGAGTGTCCCACAAGAGTGTCCTACAAGAGTGTCCCACCAGAGTGTCCCACAAGAGTATCCCACAAGAGTTTCCTACAAGAGTGTCCCACAAGTGCCACAAGGAGTGTCCTACAAGAGTGTCGTGTAAGAGTGACCCACAAGAGTGTCCTACAAGAGTGTCTCACAAGAGAGTGTCCCATAAGAGTGCCCGACAAGAGTGTCCTACGAGAGTGTCCTACAAGAGTGTCGTGTAAGAGTGACCCACAAGAGTGTCCGACAAGAGTGTCTCACAAGAGAGTGTCCCATAAGAGTGCCCGACAAGAGTGTCCTACAAGAGTGTCCCACGAGAGTGTCCTACAAGAGTGTCCCACAAGAGTGTCCTACAAGAGTGCCTTTCAGGAGTGTCCTACAAGAGTGTCCTGTAAGAGTGTTCCACAAGAGTGTCCTACAAGAGTGACCCACAAGAGTATCCTACAAGAGTGTCCCAGAAGAGTGTCCCACAAGAGTGTCCTACAAGAGTGTCATTTGGACATATGTAGCTTTTCGAACGTGTTTGCATTCGGGTTCGTGGGCTCCATCTTGTTTTTTTCGAACAGCCCCTATTCCAAATGGTAGCAAAGCAGGTGTTGCAGAATCTTTTTTGCCTAGCCAGGCGGAGAACGGCACTGTGTGCGTAACCTGCCTGCCCGGCAAATATCTTGCTGCATCGCCCCCAAACAGAGCGACACATAACAGCGACAAAAGAGTAAAGCTTTGAAGCTTTGTTCCGTGATTCGGCAGCACCTGGCAGCTTCCTCCAATGAATCAGAGTCACAGCATCGTTGCAGTAAAATTAACAAAAGCTCGGTCTAAGCTTGGGTAATTATCCACAGAATTCCAAAGGTTCGCAGACAGACTTGAGCTTGGGGTTGTTAGTGGTTTGCAATGAGTGCAGCCAGCTTCCTTGGACACAAAAAGACGTAACATCATGGCCAATGGGTAGAAAGATCAGTTGCCATCCCACCTTTTTGTGATGGCGATTTTGCGATTTTGCCACTGGTAATTTGGTCAAAGCGGTTGAAACGGGCCTTGGTCGCTGGGTTTCCAGGCTGCGGGAAGAGCAAGACGCGGAGTACGAGGTGCCCAGAAACTCGAGACGGAGGTTGGAGGTGAAGCCGGACATACACGCCTGTCTATCTATCATAGTAATTATATCAGCATATAATATCACATGTATTCGTACATGTATAGTGTATATATATATATACATAAAATATAGTCACATACATATTATATAGATATCATAAATATATGTATATATATATATTTATTTATACACATTATCGAAACCACCCTGGTTTCGAGATTGGTAGAGAGTCCTCCGGTGGTGGACTATCGCAAAACCACACGCAAAACTGGGATTGAATTCAGCCTTGAAGTCCCTGCTCCAAAAATAAGGTGATCCCCACCTGAATGAACCCTGTTCACACTGTAGCCGCCTCCGAGGACCAGCCTTTTCTCCTCGAGTGCCTCACTCGATGTTCCTGCTAGTCCAGAATGGCTCGAACGCAAAGCGAATGCCTCCCACCCTCCCGACTTGAGAGGTGTGTTGCGGATCGGTCACATTGCAACATGCGACATGCACAACTCCAGAGATTTGACATTCCCAAAAATCTAAACTTGTCGAGCATGTTCTATCATGGCCAGTGGTGACCGTGCTTAGGTTGATATTTTCCCTTGATTACTCTTCACGAGTAATTCTCCCTGCGCAAGCATTTAGAATCATTGGGATTACCCCCACTCCAATGAGTCAAGCTTAAGGGTCAGGCTTCGCTGACCATCCCAAAAAAGATTCTTCATCAACCTTTCAGCTTTCGCGTCGAGCAATCGCTGTTGCAAAATTCCTGAATTTGGGGAGGGTCTTTCCACTGCGACAGCTGGGGACGTCTTGGCTTTTCCCTCAGCTGAAACTGGCTTCTGGTGGCTGTTCATGGCTTCGGAACCAACGGAGACGAGCTTTCTGGTCAGATCGAACCTTGAGAATCTCTTCTTCATCATTTAGTTGATACTTGCCGATGTGCATGAGCTCACGAATGGTGGAATTGTCCATGACTTTTGTCAAGCAATCTGCCACCTGAGCACTTGATGGGACCCAGCGAACTGCCACTCCAGTGGCGAGGTGCTCTTTGATGAAACGGGCCTGCAACAATGTCCTGAACTCCTGACAGGATGGTGGAGCTGTCCGGCTTACAATGTCATAGAGGCTTTGGCAGTCTGTAGCAATGAGGGAATCTTGCTTACCTACTACTTGAAGTTTTATCAAATTCTCACTTAGGGATTGATTGGGATCTTCAAGTTCTGGAGTATCCTTCAAAGCAGAAAACGCTTGGGGAAGTTTGGCTAGGGTTTTGTCACCTAGTCTCCATTGGCACGTTTGATCCATCAGCCACCCCCAGTACAGACGGCACCAAGCTAGTATGTCCATAGCTCCAGCCAGAGCCATGGCCTCTGCGGACAAAGTGCTGACAGCTACTCGCTGAATCTTCTTTGAGGACCACACTATTGGATTGACTACACTTTTCTTGTTCTTCCCAATGTCCTGGTGTGCAGTCATGATCATTAATCCCTGGTGGGATGATTGGACTCTTTCTGATGCAAATGAAGCATCTGAGAATGCTACGAATCGAATATCTTCTTTTGGAATAAATTGATATCGACATTTGACGGCGGAGTGAACTTTGGCATCATGTAGTAACTTATCACCTTCGATGAGATCTTGGGTTTGTCCGTTGTTGATTTTTCCTTGCAAGACACTCAATCGACTTCCCAAGTCTGGGCGAGTGTTGACTGCGGCATACTGCAAACTTCCAATCAATCCTCTAAAGTGTTGACGTTCTTGTTCATTGATTGGTTCTTCGTGATGTTTGCGGCGGTCTTTCTCAATGGGAATCGGATTGATATCTTTTACATACTGTGTTTGATCCACATGAATCGAGAAATCATCATGCTGGTTGATCTGAAGTCCTGTGAAGACAAATTGTTTCCTTTTCCGACTTCCAAATGGAAACTTCCGTTCAAGTTCGTTGATCTTTTCATGGAATATTGAATCACCTGCAAAGAGACCGTCATCTACATGAACTCCAATGAAACCTCTCATTTTGTTTTGCTCATCAAACAAAACGAAACAACATGGGTCGAATGGCGATGGTTGGAACTTCAGTTCTGTCAAGGCTTTGGACAACTCCCGGAACCACAGCAGTGGGGCATTGACGAGTCCGTAGGCTCCTTTCAACAGTTGGCACACCTCATTAGGTCGAAGATTCATCTTGGCTCTTAATTCTGGTGGAGGTTCAACTCCGAGCATGCGAGAGTCTGCTCGGCCCCGCAGAAATGCGGTTTTGATGTCGAAGCTTCCAATTTCCCATCGGTTCGACACACATGCCTGCAGGAGAAGGTTGCGAGAGAGTTTTGACAATGTTGTTAGGATGTTCTGCATGGGTATTTTATGCCTAAGGATTCTACATACTGTTTGTGTATCTAGCCAGCTTTGAATTTCCTTCTCTTTGGCGGCATCGAACAGTTGACGTTCTGTCGACGTCAGTGTGGACAGCTTCACTTCTGACCGTTGACGCTTGGCCGCTGACACGAGGAATGCAAAAGCTGTTGGATCTGGATCATTGCGTAACATGTCAATGTCCCTGGTTTCAATGTTGACTTCAAAGCGCCACGCTTGGTCTTCACTTAGATTGTAGGCATCACATACAAGGTCATCTTCCTCTTCTATGGGCACTGGGATATTTTCTGGGGATTCCCCAACCGGCTCAAGCGGAGTTTCAGGAACTTCTGACTCTCTTGGTGACGTTGGTTCATAATCTACCTCTGATCTCGGTTGAGATGGGTTGATCTTCTCCGACACTTCTGGTTCAGTATCCGGTTGTTCGCGGTTTGATTCAAGATCTTCACTACTTCTCCTAGCTGCATTGGGAACTGGAATTTCCGGAGAATTCAGTGACACGTATCTGGTGTTTCCTGGCCGAATTTGTTCAAGCGTAGTTGGCATGTCCACCTGTTTGCTTTGATGCAAGTTTTGAACTTCTTCAACTGCTGACAGGGACCGGACATGTTCAGGTGCTATTCTAAACAGTTTGTTTCCTTGAACTGCCCAAATCACGTTCTTGTCTTCTTGTAGTACTACTTTCAAGGGACCAAACCATTGGTTATCTTTTCTCCATGCCATGATCCAATCTCCTGGCAAGTGGATCGATCTTTGAGGTCTCGATCTCTGCTGCATTGCTCGACGCAGGGATTGCATGTTGTCAACTTCACTGAACGCCTTGCGCGCTCGTTCCCGAATAGCAAGCCTTTCACGGAATTGGACTCCCTCTGGGGACTCTTGCAGTGCCAAGTCATGCGATGCGCTGTTTCCTTCACTGATCACAGAGCCAGGACACTTACTGAGCTTACCAAACACCAACAGTTCTGGTGGATATCCCTTATGTCGGGACCACTTGTTCTTGGTTTGAGTGGCAAATGAAATGGCTGTCTGGAACTCTTCTTCAGTGTTGATAGGTTTCTCCTGGTCCATTTTGTCAAGGATTGACTGCAATATGCCCCCGTGTCGTTCCACACGTGCATTTTGCCAGTGGGCGGCCGGTGCAATCATTCGAAGACGAATATCATGTTCTTGGAGAAACCCGTGAAAACCCTCCGTGCCAAACTCTGTTCCCGAATCTACTACAAGGGTTCCAGGTGGTCCAGCCCAGCAAATCCAGCCCTGGGTCAAGGCTTGAATGGCATCCGTGGTGGAATGACTTGGTGCACTGACTGCAGTATGGAAGGTTGTCCCTTGGTCGACGAAGTGATAGCAAAAGAACTGCTGACCCACACGATTGGTCCATTTGATTCCGTCCATTCCTACTACATCCCCAAAGTCCAATGGTGGATGAATTGCACTGGGCTTAGCTAACTCTGGGCTTTTTGTTTCGACACACGTGGAACACCGAAGGTCGTCCAGGGCTTCCACTATCTCGGGTTGACATCCTAGTTGTTGACAAAATGCCTTGAGCTTGGCAGCGCTTGGATGTCCCATGTTCTTATGCACCTTTAGGATCCAATTACGTTCGTCAGGTCGAAGGGCAAGCATTCGGGGTCCATGCTTATCTGACACTAGATCTACTTCATGTCGGATGGCTTCTCCTTGGGGCATCTCAGTCGGTTGCTCCTCGAACTGCGGCTGGATTGCGCTTGCCTTTGAACCTGCTGGGGGACTTTCTAGTGGCACTTCCGGTGTGCCCTCATATTCGCTTTCCGAGGCTTGGACTCTCAGGCTTTTACTCGACCGAGATGAGTCATCAGTAGACTGTTTTCTTTTGGTCGGCTCTTTAAGTTCTTCACTTTCAAACTTGGATCGAGCAAATACCGTCAGTCCACATCGCGATGGAGCGCACGGTCTCCGCATCTGACGAGCCGTGAGCCTTTCCCAAGGTTCCCACTGTTCTTCGGCAACCACATCTTCGAAACGACGTCGAATGCTCACGAATCGTCTCAGTGGTGCTCTTCCTGGGGTGATTCTCATATTGGGACCTACCATTCTGTCCATCCCTCGACATAACACCAGATGATGCACCACTTGTTGAGGGCATCTTCGTTGCACTGCTTCAAGTGGGTAACCTTCTGTAATCGCCCGGATTCCAACACGAGGGGCTTCGAGGTCCACTACTTGCATGATTTCTTCCCAGGATGGGTTACTGGTCAACACTTGGATTTGGGTTGAGTTCATCTTTTGGCTCACACGACGTCTTTTGGTCGGATGTTCATCTTCAGCTGCACAGACATAGTGGGGGCTACCCTTTTCTCGGCGGAGGCACTGAATGATTTGCCGGGCGAACTTGCGAGGATACAGCTCGGACTCGGTGAAGCTGGACAAAGGCATCTTATTGCCATTTACCCTGGTGGATCCTGCGATCTGATGATGTTTATGTGATTCTCGGCATATTCTTTGGTTCAAGTTCGTATGCAGCTCCTTAGAGGTGGTGCAAACAACTAGTCTTTTCCGGATGGGTTCCTTGGTCACCGGCTCACGCAAATCTCCCACTTGGCAAAGGTCAAAAATGCTTGGCTTCGTGACTTCAACTATTGG